TTCGACAATTTTTGGGCCAATTCACTTGTCATATTAGCAAATTTTCGGATGATGAATGACAGTTTTATACATCCAACAAGAAGTCCCACTAATGCTTAGAATAGTCCCACTAAAGCTCATTTTTTAGTGTTATTGAAAATTAAGTAGAGTTGATGAAATATTGAAAAATCAATCAAGTTGAACAAACGTGAAGGGACTATCTGGCAACTTAAAGTATTTAACTTTAAGTAGGATTTAATAAATTTTATATATCCAAACTTAATAAGTCCTAAGGCTGTTAAACCCTTAAATTTTTTTGAAATGATAGACATTAAATCTTGTTAAATTCTAGCAAACTGTCTGACAACTTACTTAAAAATTTAAGTTTGTTAGTTGAAATAGATTTTAATAATAATTATTGCTAATTTAATTCTGATCTAATTTGTAATTTTTTTCTAATGGCATTAATCACTAATTAGTTATTAATCAAGCTAACTAATCATTAATCTATTATTTATCAAGTCTATTATAATTAATTTAATAAACTTATAATTAGTTTAAGATGACATTAATTTATTGTAAATTAGTTCTCAATTAAATTAATTAAAAATTAAATTTAATAAAATTAAAATAATTTACATACAATATCAACTCAAAAATTTCACTCATTCTTTAATGAATTATAAAATTAATTAAAATTTTAAAGTTTTTAGTTAATGAAATTAAAAGATAAATAATAGTAATAATAATTTAAATAATTTAATATTTTTAAAGTAAATAAATATCCCATCCCACCGTCACCTTCCCCGCCCCCTCCCCTTCTAGATACCATTCTGTGTATTGAAACTTGCGTCTTTCTCCAAGTTTAGGTCCCACACGAAGCCCTGGAAGAGGCAAAAAAGACATTGCAACAAGCATTGCAGGCAAAGCATGAAGTTGCTACAAGTAAATGCAGGCGAAGTTATGAAAGAATATTGGGTCCTTACCCCATATTCTTTCTGCTAAATCTTTTAATTCAACCAAACTTTTGAATATAATAAATCTAGGATTTATAGTAAAACAGGATGAAAAGGGATTTAAAAATATGGCATATTTAGCTTCTCCAAAAAACAATTTGAAAGGATCAAAAGGTTAAATCTTGCCCAAATCCAACACCAAATCTTAAGGGCCCATTTGACATCACTTTTATTTTCTAATTTTATCTTTATTTTTACTTACATATTTTGAAAACAAGTTTGGTTAATATAATTTTTATATATTTTTTGTTTTTTTTGTTTTTAATTCAAATCAAGACAAAAAACATTAAAATAAAAATAAAAAACAAAAGTGACTTAATTTTTTTGTTGTTAAACTTCAAGCTCCGTTGCAATTTTTATTGAAAATATTGTCATTAGATGTTTTAATTATACTTTTTTATAAACAATTTATAAAAAATAGTTATGTATCCATGATGCGTGTTCTACAATTTAACAAGTATGTCCTTTCATAGTCTAAATGTCGTATAATTTCAATGTCTCATAGCAATGCAAGCACTTAATAGAGAGGCAGGCATTTCAAGGTTCTGAATAGGTTGAAGGGTAAGGGCTACAGAAAAAGAATCAAAGGATAAAAAAGATACAAAAAAAAGGAATGAGGCCTATAAAGATGGCAACAAAATATCATATAATCCAAATAATAACGTTATCCTTTCAAGCACAACCTAGAACTGATGAGATGAATTCATAGTTCTATGAATGGAAAATTAATGGTACTAGTGTTCACCATTAGATTCAATCCATTAAAAAGAATCGGAAGTTTCAATAAACATGCAAACAGTATAGCTAAATTTTGGTAGATGGAGCAATATGAATAGAAAGAACTGCTACCAGAATCATTCGCCTAATCACAACTATTTGGGAATAAGAATACTAATCAAGCATTAAAATGGCAGAGGCTGTAACTTCAAATAATGATATACAGTTAATGAATAATAACGAGGGTGCTATGGTGCAAAAGATGAATAATTTATCTATAGCCTTGCACGAATAAAGAGTTAACGAAAGTCAATATACAGTGACAGGAGTTGGTTTCGTGGGATTCTGTGGAATCGCGGATCCTGCTACACTCCGAGTGGGATTTTACGATTCTCCATGATCATGATAAATCCCACAATCACGGGATAATGCTTTGCACGACATACAGTCTTGTTTTCTGTTGCAGCAATTTTTAACCTTTTTGTTTATTTTCTAATTATGTTATTTGTTATCAAAAAAACTATTCATGTGTTTTTATTTTTTGATTTAGCAAACTTTAACTATTGTGTGTGTGTTTTAAACTTTGTTCTCTATTTTATACTCTCCGAAGTATTGTATCGTCTTCCTTTTGCAAGTTGTATGTTTGTATCCTGCTCAAGCATAGGTGGTGGATCCTTCTTGCCATCCATACCTCGTTCTATTTTCGTTTTGACTATTGTTTTCAGTTCGGACAACCGTTGAACGTTGACTATCTCCTTCCACAAGTCGTCAAGCTTACGCAATATCTTTCCCATGCAATTCCACAACCACATCCCTGCTAGATCAATACGCTTTCCAAACACTTTCTAGGAACTTTAGAACAGTGTCATTTGGTATTCCGTGCACTCAAACAAAAAAATCCATACAACTTTTGACCCACAAAAAAAATTCACCACTATACCCTAACCATTCCTATCGCAATTCCAAGCCTTAATCCTAATTTTTTAAAAGCCAATCTCCCAACCTCCACTAAAAATCCAACCCAACACCTACCATCAAACCTTTGATTTGCAATCCTATATCTGTAGAAAATCTAATTAGGAGGAAAGGGCATTATGCAAGAGAAAAACACGAGGTGTTCAAAGGATCACTATGAAGGATCTGCAACAACCATCTACCTACATTAAAAGCTTGTCATCATTGAGAGGAGATGACTCTTTGAGGTCACTTAGAGTCACAGCATTCACTCGCCAGATCAAGAAGAGAAAGTGAATCCCTTCCACTAGAAAACTTCAAATAAAGAAGAACTGATGTCACGTCGATTTGGCATTGAATATCAGAAGACATGTTAGGATGTTAAAGTAAAGATTGACTGGTTAGATTTTGACAGTCTTATGGATTCGAACGAGTTCATCGAGTGGATTTAGACGACTAAAAGAATCTAAGCACAATGATGTTTAACCTGATAGAAAAATCAAACTAGTTGCTATTAAATTAAAGAAAAATGTTAACTTGTTATGGGAGAATCTAAAGCATAATCGACAATGGAAAAGGAAAAATTTGATCACCGCTTGATCTAAAGTAAAAAGAGAGATGAGAGATGCAACACAAACACTTTCCCCCGCATTATCGATAAGATATGTTCATAAAACTCTATAACATGTGCCAAAGAGACTCTTCTATGAAAAAAACAACTAAATTTGATCAATTAATGCAGAAATGTGAGTTGGTGGAGCTAGAAGAGCACACAATAGCAAGGTATTTTGGAGAGTTGAGGTCATCTATCTAGTGCGGCTACAATAGTATTTGTCTTTACTCAATGTCTAAACCTTGGCTTTGAAGGTAGAAAAACAGAAACAACATCATGTGACTGCCACACTTTACAGGCAAAGTTCGAGCCAAGTATCAAGTAGCAAGAGTACACCAAATGGAGTAACCAAGTCCACCCCCGGTCAAGGAGAAACCCGTGCAGAGTGTAGAAAAGTTGGAGACTGCAAGCACTACTAAACCTGTCCCAGCAAAAAATTTCTTAAAGCGTCATGATTTTGGCCTTATTACGTCCGATTGCCAAATATGAGGATGATCTCTTTCACTAAGTAGAGAGTAGATGAAAAAATGGACAACAACACATGAGAGAATAAAAACATCATAAAGAAGTATCAGCTTCCAGCCAATGAGGAAAAAATGCCAGTGATTCAAGTTGAGACAATGAAAGAGAATAAAACAAGATTAATATTGATTGCCCTAGAAGGTAGGAGTCCAAAAAGCCAATACCATAAAACGGGTGGCCCTTGTTAAGAAAGTCGTCGGATGTCCTTACTAATTATTTATCTCTTGGGTGATTGCCCATTGATAGCGATCCAATATATCATAGATTTCATTCAAAGGTCAATTCCTCCAAACAGACTTTTTGATCGGATATGCTAACCGAGTGCAAGAAATGAGAGAAACAGATTGCAAATTTAATAACTTGAGACTCAGTTCATAAGAATGCTCATTTATGTGTAGTTCTAACTCTAATTGTGCGCCAAAAAATTATGCCCATGTATTTTATCAGGACAAACTTTGCAAGAACATATACAATTATATGTTATCTTGGGGGGCTGATTTCATAGAATTCTAGAAAATTGAGAATCCCTTTATAATCCCAAGCGGGATTCGGCGATTCCACAGGATCACGAGATGATGATTCTCATGGGATGCAATCTTGTTTTCATTTTTAACGAAATTTTTACATTTTCGTTTCTTTAATATTTCTCTATTTTCTAATTAGGTTATTTTTTATTAGGGAACTATTTATATATTGTTATTTTTCTAGTTTAGCAGACTTTTAACCATTGTGAGTGTTTTGAGATTTTGTTTTTTGTTTTATACTCTCTGAAGTATTGTATCATCTTTCTTTTATAAGTTGTGTGTTCGTATTTTTCTCATAAATAGATAGTGGATCTTTCTTGCCATATTACCGTTCAAATGCTGTTTTCAGTCCGGACAGCCACTAAATGCCGCCTATCTCCTTCCACAAGCCGTCAAACTCGCACAATATCTTTCCCCCACTATTCCACAACATCCCCGCTAGATCCGCTTCCCAAATACTTTCTAGGAACCAAGAACAGTGTCATATAACCTATTGACAAAAAATTTTGTCACTGTTTGCCTAGAAACAGAATTCATATTTTAGCAATAGGATTGGACTAACAAATACAAAAATAAGTTCAAAATGTGCATATATTAATCGAGAGATAAAGAAAGAAGAAGTAATGGTATGTCAATCAAATGAAAGAATTCTGGTGGAATGATCTGCCAACTTACTGTACTTTTGTTGTAGCTTTGATCAGAAAAAACAGCCGTAGCAACTTCTACCAAATTACCTAGTAGACAGGCATAACCTGGAAATTCAGGAGAAACACCATTAGGAATAACAGATGCATGACTAGGCAAGCAGAGCGCCAATCGATGGATATAGAACTTTGTGAGTCTTCGCGTCAAGAAAACCTGAAATATCAAGAAAAAAATTCTTGATTGAGAAGCAACAGGATATTAAGAAATGTAAAAAATTACTAGATAGAGCAATAATCAAGTATTACTTTTACAGTTCTATAAAATATAATATAATTTTGGGATCAAAACCAATGAAAGAATCAAAATGATCAATATAAATTGTGCTGAGCAAATAATAAACAGAAAAATAATACCTCCTTATAATATGAAAGATGATGCCACAGAAAAGGAATCGACAAGATTTGCAACGAGAAGCATAATTTTGGATCCGTATCTGAACAATAACTTGGATGCCGACTAGCATGAAGAGTAATTAGGGCAAGAACATTCTCCAGAGAAGACATACTAGAACGAATTTCTGGCTCTTTCATGTTATTCTGCATCAAGAACATGTGATGGTAAGGAAACCACAACAACATCAGATTTAAGAGGTGACATCATGAATCATGTATTATCAGTGTTGTATATGGTATACATATGTATGTATGTACATGAGAGCTCTCAATTAAAAATCAGAATACTACATCAACAATTATTCAAGCAGTTCAATTATGCAAAGAACTCAATGAGAAGGAAAGAACTGCAGAAACAAAGTGTTCCATGCAATGCAGCAACTTTCAATTATTCATGTATGCGCCAGATAGCATATATGTAAAGTCAAAAGGCAGTCTCTTAAGGAAAAAAAAAGACAGATGGTGTTTACTGGTTTGTCATTTCAATACGTAATCTTTTAAATCCTTGCACTTCTTACATCTGACTGTCAGATTCTAAACACCTGAACCTCCAGTTTTTCAAATAATTTTGAACATAAATAATAACAAATTCGTTAAATTTTCATCTGGAACTTCTCTCGATTGTAAGCTAATCGAACTAGAATAATCTAACAAGCACATATATCCGTCAGGGATTTGGACCATGCTACGGATGTTCCTTTCACTGATAACTGAGATTGACTGCTAGATGAACCCAGTTCTCAAAGGTTTGGGTTAAAATACTAAATTACCGACCATGATACCTATTATAGTGCACTAGATATAAGACGGAGACAAAAAAAAAAACCATTTCTTTAACTAAATCAATTTGTCTCGATGTTGTTTAGCTAGCCACTATTGGAAGTTTGAGTCATCTATTTTAATTTTATTCCCTTCTTATTATGTCATATTTCTTTCCTTCTTGAATTATATATATATATATATAATTCATCTTGCTCTAATCGTTCTTCATTATATAAAGAGAAGAGTTTTAATTTGATTATTTTAGATATAAAAAAATACAATTTTCTCCATGTTTCTATATGGTATTAGAGCTAAAAAGCAAACCCTAGATCTTATTTCAGCAGTCGGAGCCTCTCCAATAGCTGATCAGGAATGGACTTCTCCCTGTAGCCACCATCCAAACTCAGGCACTTCCCAGTCCTGGCTCCTTGATACCGAAGTTAACCCTATTGGGTTGTGGAACCAAAGCACAAGCCACACGGCACTTATGTGCCAGGTTGTGGCTCATATGCGCCTGCTATAAAGCGGGCGCTGCTCTTATTCCCAAGAGACCGACATATAGGCCCCGATCTATTGGCGCCTAGGACCCGATCTATTGGCGCCTAGGCCCTGGTATATTGGCACCTAAGAGCCGATCTATTGGTGCCTAAGCGCCCATTATGGGGCACCGATACAAAGTACTTTTGGTGCGGTTGCTACAAAAAAATGGTTTTAAGCCAATTTTTTAGTGTGAATCAATGAGCTTGTTGTTTTCTTGTTTTTGAATCATTCAACGAGCATCTCGGTGAATGTGAGGAGTGTCGAAGAGGTGGATTTTGGTGATTCGACCTGATTTTTGTGTTAGAAGAGAAAACTGGGATGTCGACGACTATCTTGAACAGAAACACGACAAAACTCAAAACCGTAAACATATAAAATAAATATATTAATAGTATAATCATGTGGGGCCTAAGAGGACATGCTGACTCCTTGGCATAAAAAAAAACAGAGAGCGGGTCAATCTAGGTATGAAGAGCCTCTTTCGTCACAGGACTTCCACCGTCATGTTCGTTCGTGGGAACGTGTCATGCCCCATGTCAGTATTCCAGGATTGAGGGAGCTTCGATCTCATTAGTCGAAGCTCGTCTCCTCGTACTGTGGCGTTAAAACGATCTAGTTGAAGATAGTGGAAATGGTGTAATCTCCTGTTAAGTCAGTTTTGTAGGCATCCTCATTCCAAAGCACATCCTAACATAATAAGTATTCAATTTCTTTTCGCACGATCAAAGCTGGAACTGCACGTGGATGGGTATCCTCACAAACCAAACCTCGAGCCATCACATATGTAATTAGCTTCCTCCACTCTTCGTGCTCGTCTGAGTGTATCTAATAAACAAGCATGTATAGACAAATCAACTCTGGAATGAAACTTAGGATAGGCTGGACAACAGTGAAGTATAACCACTCAAGTGAAGCTTCTTCTTCTGCTTCTTCTCTGAAAAGATCTGGATCCCACTGTAGAATGTTCCTCCAGCTAAGCTCCTAAGGCAATTTCCAACACTCGCTCTTATCTGATCAACTATCGATGAGTATACTATTAAATTGATTGTACTGCCTAAATACTCCATATGATCTTCTAGAATAAGGTCAAAAATTTCTCATATCTAATATGTTGAATCTCTCTCAGTATGAGCAATTGAATTTCTCTTATCTAGGTTGTTATACCCCTAATGTTGGTTCCTCGAACTCAAGACTATCTTGGACAACCACTATTAATTAGATTGAAATTTTTATCATGAGCGAATTACGTGCATCTTTCCCTCATCAGTTGGAAGTCGGTACACCTTTGTATCTCATCTTCTTCAGTGTCTATGGTAATATTACCCATTTTTTCAAAAACACGATACTCAGTGAAATAGATAATTTTTTCGGTAATTCAATCTTATTCAATACGCCCAAATTCGAAACACTTGAAACACTTTCTGGTTATGATAGATTTAGGAATGCAAGTTCGCTTCTTCACATGTACTTGGATGTTCAGATGAGTGAACTCTGGCTATAAGATCATAAGGTTAAACCCTATCTGTAAGATGTGGTGATCTCCAGCGATGTCATCTCTCCAATTTTGAAGCTAGAGTTTGAATATTCGGTCTCTAGTGAGTTGGTACGTTTTGGCACTGCATCTCTCCCATTTCATCTTGGATCAAGTAGTGATCATGTCTTTTCTCTCACGCAGGCATAAGTGCATCAAATTTTTCGACCAAAATAATGCACTCTTCTTTAATTTGTTGGTGGCTAATTTCCTCATTATGTCTGATGGGGCTTCCTCGTACTCAAAGAAAAGTTCAACGGTCTAAAGCCACTTGATGAACTCATCCAGATCCAAGTGACCATCAAAATGTGGCAAAGTCACCATTACTTCAAAATCTTGACTTCTTAAATATTTAAGGTCAAAGATTCGGGTTAAAAGTTCATCCCTAGAATGCTCATGTTGGAAGAGATTCACTCTATTTTTGATCAAGCAAGTCATTGTTATGGCTATAAGTGACTGGTCCGGATTGCCTCCTCTCAAAGGAGACAAGTCTTTATTGCAGTTAGAGGATTTCCCGCCGTATATCCTCTGTAAAAGGTTCTCGAACCTCTTTTTGAGAATTTCTCATAAATAATGTTGTGGTATTTCCTCCCGAATAGATCTCCAACCATTGTCTCTTCAGTAGTGTGGTTGGGATTAAAGATGAGGGTTGGGTAGGTAGAAGAGGGTGTATAGGGATAATGTAGGGTGGGAAAGAAAAATGTTGGGTGAAGGTAGGGTTGGGTATGAATGGAATAATGCTAGAAACCCTAAGATAGAACAATGGTTATGCCAGCTCTGATACAAAATGATACCGAAGTTAACTCACACAACAATAAGAAAGTAAATACTATTATTGTAAAGCTCATAGGCGATTACAACCAACATGTTGAAAGGGAAATACAACAATAAACACAATTAAAGTGTATCCTAAGAATGGTGGAAGATGGCTGGAATGGGAAGGTTGTGGGGTTAGAGGGTGATGGAATCAGCAACTAAGATTTCTGGAAGGTGGATGAGGTGTGGTAGAACTTGTGAGTGGCTAGAACAACACAAAACAGCAAAGGGAACACATTGCAAAATGCGGCAGCAGAGTTGGAGAGTTGGGACAACGAGGGAAGTAAAGTAGGTGGCAGGGACAGTGGCTAGGAAGGGGAAGACAGCAGTAAACAGCAAGGACAACTAGTCTGAGGAAGCTGGAAGGTTGTGGGCTGTCGAAAACAGTAAGGGAGGGCTAGCGGCTCATTCTGAAGGAAAACAAATAGATTGTGGAACGAAGGTAGCTAGAAAAATGAGAAGTACAAGAAAAGACAGCAAAGACAGTTGTCCTGGGCGGCTGCAGCGAGGAAAGAGATGTGGTAGCAAAGCAAGGGGTGCGGGAAAGGGAAGGTCGAGGATACATACTCCCTCGGGAATGAGCTACAACCGCAGTATCACTTGAGCCTTAGAAGAATCTCAGCACCTCGAACAAATTACAGTTGGAGCACCACTCACCTTTGGATACATCTATAGAAGGAAGAAATCCGGACGTTGACGGTTGTTCTCAATAGAAACACAACAAAACTGAAAATCTAAAACACGGGAAACAAATATATAGCAATAGGATAATTACGAGTAAACCAAGAGAGCCGGCTGACTCCTGAACGTCGAAAGAAACATAGACCAATTACGAATCAAGAGCTGCTTTCATCGCAAGAAATCCCTCGTCACGTTCGTTTGTGGAAGCACATCACTCTTGCCTCAGGTTCCTGCTTTGTCGCAGATCTCTGACAGTCACATATCTTTCTAAGCATCTCCCGGCAATAACTTTCTTCCCTACAGACTTCCGTTGGCTAGCCTGCTAAACCTCCCTCCGACAACCCTATCTGATTTCCCAAGTAGACAGCTCATCCCTTGGTCCTTACCAACCTTTCAGCCTTTCATTCCAACCGCCAATCACTCAAGAAAGCAACAGTTGTAAGTTCGCAGTTTGCAACACATCGGCCAATAAGTTTTTTCAACCCTAAACGTGCATAGGGCTTATGACTAGACAGAATGAACATGTCCAGCTCTACTCTGGAGGTTAATTCTGAATCAGAGACAATGAATTCTACTCAAAAAATCTCGGAACTCTCACTTATATCACAAACCATACTCAATGGTCATAACTTCCTTCAATGATCTTGATTTGGGTTTATGTACATTTGTGAAAAAAGAAGAAAAGAGGAACATCTCATTGGGGAGAGCACATCTCCTAAGTTTACTGATCCTAATCATCGATCATGGAAGATCTAAAGTCATATAGTCATGTCTTGGCAGATCAATTCTATGACCACAGAGATTAGAGAAAATC